ATTAAAATTAAAAAGCAAATAATAGAGTTTCTCAAAACTGCTCTATCAGAGGTGGGTTTTAGTGTCGACCAGGCTGAATCAGATGCAGATACAGTCATCGCCCGTTCTGCGCTTGCTGCATCCCCATCATATGATTCTGTGATTATTGTAGCAGAGGACATTGACATTCTTGTCTTGCTCACGGCATTAGGAAGGCATGATGTTGTGTCGCATCCTGAAAAAGCATGGAGAAACAGCAAAATCTCTGCAATGATATCGCCATATATAAAACCTGAAGGACAGTGTAATTGATAAGACGTACGCCCTTTTGAAGGTTTAAAAAAAGCATTGGATTGTATTCTACCTAATGTCCTACCCTTAAAAAAACATGGTTTCTGTTTTTTTTTTTGGTGTCGGTATAGGTATAATTAATTCATCGCAGATTCTTACCAAACGGCACCAGCATTACTGCTTATGTGTACTGTGAGGAACTGGACACAATGATGGAGGAGCTCAAAAATCTCCAAACAGCCTTGGTTAGTGGCTCGCCCCGCTGCTCCCGATATGACCCGACAACGCTGGACCTCATACGGCACAACAGACGGTAAGCTACAAAAGCTAAGTCGAGCTGAGCTACGAGTTTGAAGTCGTTGTGGTCTAAAGGATAAGACGTGTCCTGATCACGCAGGAACCAGTCACCGTCGACGCCCTAGACACGTCCTTACGGATCTATCAGATCCAATAACCTTTGCATTAGACGTCTTCAGCTCTAACACTATGAGCAGACTTAGGGACCTCGGAAACCGTACTCGTCGAACTCGACAAAGAGGTCGACGTGCAACCTAACCGATGCATCAGCTCGCTGAGTTTCTAACCGGATCTTCTCAGCGGGTCGCGATTCCGATCCGGTAGTAGATTCATTCGCGAAGCTGTTATGCATCAGCTCGCTGAGTTTCTCACCGGATCTTCTCAGCGGGTCGCGATTCCGATCCGGTAGTAGATTCATTCGCGAAGCAATTGCTCTTGAGTTGTTAGGTCTCCTTCGGAGGCGCTCGGGCAGCTGTTAGCAAATCCCACCTCTCCTGGCTGAGCCTGTGCTCGTCCACCTGTCCTGGTGAAACTGGAAAGACTCCAGGCAACCAGTAATCCATTAATCAATAAAAAAGTAGGAATACCGTAGATGCATATTTTGATAAATAGTAAAAAAAATATTTATAAAAAAAACTGTATATGAAGCGCCAATTACGTAGGTAAAGACAGCTATGACAGCCTGCCATGAGTACTCCATGAGCACTCGTGAACAAACATCATAACGTATCGGGCTCATTATTTTGTGGACTCGGTCCTGGGTTGTTGCGCAAGGCCGCGATGCGCGCCATCAGTTCCACGCCGACGCGACGCGACGCGACGTCTGGCCCCTGCGTTTGCAAACCGCTATTGTTGGCAATAATTACCATGATTTATAGTTTTCTTTATTCTATGTTATACTTCTGCTTTTTAGTAAAATGAAACTGTTATTCTAGTATATTTAATATTCAGTAGACACTGTTGTGATGTGAAAATGTTTAGAAGATAGTCACGTCGGGCACCTCTGCTGACGCAAGTATGCAAGGGCAGATCTTCGGCGAAGTCAACTGTTGAGTTGTGGAGCTGGCAGACGCCGCCATCCGCTGGACCGGTGCCGCGCTGCTACGAGCCGTTTCCGTTAGATTAAGATTAATAATAAGTTAGTCTTAAGTCAGATTTGGTGTGGAATAAACGTTCCTAACATATAATTTCAATTTTTAACAGGTCGTCCGAGTGGCCCGCACCTTCACTACATGTTTATTTTATATAGTTTGAAAACACAAATTTCTGTCAAAATACTCAAATGTTAATAATCTATTTTTTATTGCTTAGATGGGTGGACGAGCTCACAGCCCACCTGGTGTTAAGTGGTTACTGGAGCCCATGGACATGTACAACGTAAATGCGCCACCCACCTTGAGATATAACTTTTAAGATCTCAGTATAGTTACAACGGCTGCCCCACCCTTCAAACCGAAACGCATTACTGCTTCACGGCAGAAATAGGCAGGGTGGTGGTACCCACCCGCGCGGACTCACAAGAGGTCCTACCACCAGTGTAAGCATAAATAAAATTAATAAATTATGTTACAATTAACATTAATAAATGTAGGTACTTTGTATTGTAATCGTGTATGCAAATCATGTTGTTGGCGCCATCTATAGGTATATATTGTTATCAGACTGAATAATAATAATGTTAGTTTTTATTAGTTCTATGTAAATTCATGTAAAATAAATTCATGTCAGAGTCATGTAAAATTCACTAAAGTATTTATTCTGAATATTAACTACATTTCATGAACACTTTCGCATCAATTCCATTTGTTTCTATAAAAGAAGCTGTAGATAGTATAACCTACAAAATAACTAATTGTGCAAAAATGAAGACATAGCTTTTTGTAATAAGCACGCAATATTAACGACTCATAGAATTGTATCGTATTTTCGTTGTAATAAGCCCTACGTACAGCCGACATGCACCATACGACCGTATGCTCTCTCTGAGCAATCTACTCTGCGGTAGCTGAGTGTCATGATCGCTGCAGGCGCACACCATTTATGTAAACCGGTAAACAAAACTAAACTATAGCTCCTAGCATATCGTTTGAAGTGAACTTTTCAATCAGGATAGTTTGAACTTTATGAAGAAGGACCCTCTTGTTATGGCCTCGCAGTTCCAAGGACTTTCTTCGCAACTCGACGGGATTTTTGGAATTCTTGGGGTCGATATTGCAAGCGGTGTTCAGTGTCGAAGTCATTTAGAATGTGAAGCCAGATTGGTTAGTTTGGAGTCCTCAGCTGAGCGAAGCGGTACGTCATGCCTGGACAAAGATTTATACTTGATAAAGCACAGGTTCGGCCTCGCATGGAGTACTGCTCCCACCTGTGGGTCGGGACTCTGAAACTATCGTATCTAGCAATGCACCGACATTCCAATCCCGCAGGTGGGTACCAATTTTTCTAATGAAATACGTACTTAACAATTGTTCACGATTGACTTCCACGGTGAAGGAATAACATCGTGCAATAAAAATCAAAACTCGCAACATTACAATTTACGTAATTACTGGTGGTAGGACCTCTAGTGAGTCCGCACGGGTAGGTACAACCACCCTGCCTATTTCTGCCTTGAAACAGTAATGCGTTTCGGTTTGAAGGGTGGGGTAGGAAGGTTGTACTGTAAAAACGGAGATCTTAGAACTCATATCTTAAGGCAGGTGGCGGCATTTATGTTGTAGATGTCTATGGGCTCCGGTAACCACTTAATAACTTCTTGCTTTCCAAGGTGATGGAGCGAATAATAAATACACAGCTCCTGAAGTATCTTGAGGATCGCGAGCTGATCAGTGACCGACAGTACGGTTTCCGTCACGGTCGCTCAGCTGGCGATCTTCTTGTATACCTTACTGACAGGTGGGTTGAAGCCTTGGAGAGCAAGGGCGAGGCTCTTGCTGTGAGCCTTAATATCGCGAATGCCTTCGACAGGGTCTGGCATAGGGCACTTCTGTCGAAGCTACCAGCTTACGGAATCCCCGAGTAGCTCTGCAAGTGGATCGCTGGCTGTTTGGATGAGCGGCGCATCACGGTCGTTCTAAACGGTGAAGGCTCTGATACCTTGACCATTAACGCTGGCGTCCCACAAGGTTCGGTGCTCTCCCCCACGCTTTTCATCCTGTATATCAATGACATGCTGTCTATTGATGGCTTGCATTGTTATGCGGATGACGGGGGATGCTCGATATATCGGCCATCAGAGTCTCTCTCGGAGCGTGGTGCAAGAGAGACGATCAAAACTTGTGTCTGAAGTGGAGAACTCTCTGAGGCGAGCCTCCGAGTGAGGTGAATTGAATTTGGTTCAATCCGTGCGCACTGAAACACAGTACCTTTAGTTCTATTTCGTAAATAACTGAAGTGACTCAACACCGCACTTTTGATCACTTCCATAATTATTAGCAAGAATTATATCTTTGCACAAAAATATTAGAGGCATCTCGTGTATTATTTTACTTTTACTACATAATAATTTATATATTGTATGCTTTTACGATATGATAATTAAATAGCCATCTGGTTTGTTTAACGCTATGTAGATGTCGCTGCACATCGTTCCTTTCTCTGTCAATAGATGGCAGACTACGGTTGTGAGTGAAGTGCTAATAACAAATAGGTACCTAATCTAAATTCACAAACCAAATTTTCTAACGTTTATTTAGCAGTCACTTTTATCGAGACAATATGAAGTCATTAAATGGAAGTAGCGGAGCAGTTCTCTGTGACGACGAGGCTGTCGGCCGGGGCGGGCTGTGCCCTTGGACATCGTCAGCACGACATCGTTTAATACTCTGCCTTGGTTGTATTGTTGATCGTGCGACTCCCCTGACGTCCAGTGAGGGAGTGCATGGGGAATTATTTACCTAGTGGATAGGGCTCTCAAAAAATATCTTTTGGATCGTGGTCTGCCCATAGCATCTGCAGAATGTCAAGTTCTAAAGTTAGAGTTCCGCACGAAAAAAAAACCTGCTTTTCAGATCAGATCGATAGGAAAGACAGCGAGGAGGAACGTATCAATAATGTTAACGATTATCTCGATATCAGGATGCGGGAGCGCTTAACATCAGTGAACAATATTCGTCACCAAGAAAGGACGTGAACATTCTTGGTTTCGTGTCGTAAACTCTCCTCCGCGCCGGACCTCTGTCCTAATCATCAATTCGTAATTTTGCAAACACCAGCGCCCACCAGCGCCGGGGTTATTATAGACTGTTAATAAAAAAAATTTTTTGGTTTAAATCATTGGATTTTTACCATTTGAGAGAGATAAGTACTTATGTACGCATCAAATCTATTTGCAGAGTAAATTTAAACTTTCTGAACTTTTCATTCTGAATTTTATTTAAATTATTTGTATTTTTTAGCGTGGGAGAGACGGCGCGGCGGTAGATAAACACACATTGAAATTTAAAAAATACTTTTTATTATGACTATAATTTAATAAAATAAGAGTAAGGAAGGATTTCGAGGGTCACCGGTGTGGCGGCAGGAAGCCAAGCTTGGTGAGCGCCTCGTCCGCACGCGACACCAACACGTCTTTCCAACGCCACAGCGAGGTGTCCCGCTCGGGCTGCGCTCTCAGCTCGGCGCAGGTCTTGCTGAGCGCCGTGACGCAGTCCGCGCGGTAGTGCTGCAGCCGCGCGTGCCTGGTCTCCAGCGCGTAGGAGGAGCACGCGCCGCCCAGGCACGCCAGCGGGAAGTGGTTGTGCAGCGCCAGCACGCGGTCCGTCTCGTGGAACGCCTTCACGTACTGGCCGGGCTTGGTGAAGTTGCGCGTGCGGTACACGTGCTGCAGCATGTGCATGTAGCGCGGCACGCCCTCCTCCCAGCCGTGCTCGTGCCGCAGCGAGTCCAGGAAGTACAGGTTGGAGGCGTGGTACGAGGAGCGCGGCGGCTTGCCCGGTGCCGGCGCCGACAGCGGCAGGGCGCGCCGCATGAGCCCGCTCCAGCCGCCGTCCTCCAGCGGCACGATCACCTCGTCGATGTCCAGGAGCGCCAGCCACCGGTACTCGTACATGTGCCGATACAAGCAGTCGTTGTACGGTATCAGCTCCATCTGTCGCTTGTGGGTCGTCTTCTTCTTGAGGTACATGTGCTGGAGACCCGGCAGGTTCGGTTGGCCTCCGGGCAGAGTGATCGGCGTCACCGTGACTGCGCCGAGGTTCGCATAGTAGTCGAGAACTTTTGTGATATTCGGATGGACCTGAAGCTCATAGAAAAAGATCTTGTCGGCCCCGAGCAAGCGCACGAGCTCGATCCACTCGACGAGGCGCACCGAGAGGTCCTCGTGCAGGAAGTCTAGGCCCTTGACGCAGACCGCGAACTCCTTGCGCCCTCCCGTCGGCGGCGCGTCGTAGTGGACGCGCAGGTTGTTAGTCGCGCGGTCGCAGGGGTTCTCCACGAGCGACACGGAGGCGGGCACCAAGTCCCGCACCTCGGCCGGCAGCACGCAGGCCAGCAGGTACGGCTGCAGCACGCGGTCGCGGTAGTTACCCCACTTGCTGTTCCACACGTACTTGTACTCGAGGTTGCGCACGACCACGGGCTGGTCGCGCTCCTCAAACCAGAGCTGGCAGTGCGTGGCGATGGTGGGCTTGATGCGGTCGTGCACGGCGAGCACGCGCACGGCGGGCCCGATGCGCGACGTGTTGCGCCGGTCCATGTACGCGCCGTACAGGTGGAACGCGCCCTCGCTCGAGTGCATCGTCTGCCAGTAGGTGTTGTGGAACTCGAGGTCGTAGATGGAGGGGAAGGGCGCGCACTCCTTCTTCTTGTAGTACTTGTTCTTGTCGTCCTTGTGCCTGTGCCAGTACGCCAGAGGCAGCGAGGGCAGGCGCCGCTCGGCGTCGGCCCGCAGCTCGTCCTCGGTGAGCACGCGAGTGTCGGTGGCCGGCAGCGCGTGCAGGGCGTGGAGGGGGGCGGGCGGCGTGGAGGCGGCGGGCTCGGACTGCAGCAGGAGGCGCGAGGGGGGCGCGGGGCGGGCGCGGTGCGCGGGCGGCGGCGGCTGTAGGCGCGGCAGGGCGAGCGCCGCCAGCCCGCCCCAGCACACCAGCGCCGCCAGCCACCGCACCCGCGACCTCGTCCAGCCGCTCCACCACCCGCGCATTACCTGGAACACACAACCACACCGACTGGTCACTTACTGCTCACCCATATATCGTTCGTTTCTGCTTGTCTATCTACAACAGTCACAGGACATCTACTCCTATCTACTTAAATGAATTAAGGTTTTTAAGGCTCCTATATTTATTGACACTTCACTATAATAAAACTAATTGTCTATATATTTATTTGTCCAATGCTAATCTCCGAAATGACTGATTCGTTTCTTTAAGGCATTTTATTTAAATTTAAGTAAAAATAAATTAATACTGCACATTATGAAGTAAATTTTGTAAATTTTTATTTTACTGGTATTTTAATAAACTATTAACACTAAATCCATGCACCGCTCGCGCTCACAGTGCAAGCTGCAACAAGGCGGTGCACGCATGGGAACTGACCACTCTATCTGGTAGCCGCCATGGAGTCGGCAACCCTGAGAGCGCCTGCTCCCTGGCCGGTACACACTACACCGAGCGTCGTTCTGCGGTTATCAACTACTTTGGAATTTAGGTTCCGGAGTGACATGCTGTATCTCGTCGATTATTGTGCTTTACTCCTAAACATCTGTACTGTTCCGTCCAGTGTTCAGTCTGGTGCGACCGCGTCGTTTACGGATGTGCTAATGTGTCACGGTCGTCACGGTCGTCACTGTCGTCACGGTGACAGCCGCTGACATCAAAAGTCATGACAACAGAGAGTATTTAGTTCCAAAGAAGGTTGTCTTAAAGTTGTTATTGATTATACAAGTGTGGGTGGAGTAGAGTGGAGTGGATCCAGAGATCCGACAAGACTAGTTTCGGGCGACGACGGCTTCGCGTTACACCGTCGCCTGGGACGAGAAGTGATCAGCCACAGCGATGATAAGTAGGTTATCGTGTCGTGGCGCTTTGTCGAAGTAACATTTACATTAGCATTCACTGTAGATCCCGACGTTATGAAGAGGTGGCGTGTTCAAATCACGCCGGGAAAGGACAAAGGAAAGAACTTCCACCGAACGAACAATGTCGCCCGGCAGACCTGCGGTCCGGATGTTGTACGGAGCTTGCATCTCGCTTCTTGCAGCTGCTCTGGCCACGAGCACGCCATGCTCAGTGCTTGCACACTTATAATAATGGACAGAGGGACTCACGCTGTTTGTGTTATTGTGCACTGTTACTGTTCCCGCGTCTCATCACTAGCAGAGACCTCGCGGGCAGCGCGCCGTGCAGCGAGGAGGGCCCTCCCTCGACGCACCAGACAAGACGCACGCTTGATTGCTTTTAAACGTGCGCACGCTCCATTTGTATGTAAACCAGTCATTAGAAATATACCATCTAGACATCGCAATGTGACATCAAAGAGCCTGCGCTCAAATCTGGAGCTTGACATTCAAACAGTCGCTAATAGAGTATTGGTAATCGCCGACAGGTTAGTCAGCGGAGACCGGGCTGCGCCAGCGTGCTGTTCTACTGCTCGTGGCTGGTAGGTGTGTCGGTGCTTGGGATTCCTTATAATATTTATCTCTCGAATCTTGAAAATCGGAAGACAAAAGCGTTTTACGCGCACCGTTGTTGTCAGCTAGTAACAGTCCTGTCGCAGTCTGCACGCTCGCCTGCCGGGACGAGGGGAGGGAGGGGAGGGGAGGGGAGGGGCGAGTGCACGACCGGTCCTACGCCAGGGACTCACGTCTCGCACACCGGTTCGCAACACCTACCATAATATTATTATACGGAATGAAATGAGGACTCATACGGACAACTCCAATTCATGTGATGTAATCATAATTAAGTATAATGCCATTAGGCTTTAGAAGGCAATATCTTTGTCATAAATATATGTTGAAGATTTGGTCCAGGTCAAATGATTATCTAAGTTCGCGTATAGTTGCTTTCCATGATTTTTTATTAAATGGTGCACGATATTGGCGAAGAACCAGTAGTGTTTAGTAGTTGATACATATAAAAAAGTTAGAGAGTTTGAAGTTTCCTAAAATCAGACACCGCTACAGTATCAGTTAGTCTATCTTATTACGAAACTGCCCTTGTACGATATTATTTCTATAGATATTAAATCAATAACAACCTCAAAAAAGCAAACCATTTAATATGATTACAATAATACGTTTGCATCAATTATAGAAAATAAATTTCATGATTTTGTTCAAATACACACAGACGCCTCAAAGGATAGAGTAAATGCGGGTTGCTCTTTTTTGATCACAGTAGATCATTTAACGCTAAGTTCAGGATTGATAATAAATATACTTATGGGACTGGAGTTGCTTGCAATATTGAAGTCAATCTCTTACGCGGAATCTTGCGGATACAGAAATTTGTGATATTTACTGATTCGGCGTCTTCTCTGCATCATTTGTTGAGCTGTGGAAAGGGCACTTTTGGGAGACAGGAGGCTGTCTTGCTCCATTATAAAATGTATTTGGTGTTTAATAGATAGTGGTGTTTAAATCAGGATACAATGGGTTCCTTCGCATGTGGGGATCCGCGGCAACGAGACGGCTGACGCACTGAGCTGATCCTCTGTATGAGGATTCGTTCTGGACATGTTCCCTTGGGTGCATTTAGGTTTCTAATGCGAATACAAGACAGTCCCAACTGTGCCACGTGCCATAATGTCAAAGAGGATCTCTACCACCGCCTGATGGAATGTGTCCAGAGCAGAACTGTTGCAAGATACGGGTCACTCTAGGTATGAATTGTTCTTTTTTTTGCATAATATTTTTGTATCAGGTTTGAAATGTGATTATAGTGATATAGAGTTATGAGTTTTTTAGTTTGTTCTTTCTCGAAAGATGTAAATTGAGCGGTATAGTTATTTTAAGTGTTTTGTTTAAGTTTTATATTTCACTGTGTTTAAACATTCTATTTTTATTTGGTTTGTTTATATAATGGCCGACTTAACCTAATAGGTATAGCTCTAATACAGAATAAAAAAAAGAATACGTATCTACATTTTAAGTCACAACAATGACGGTTCATTACTTGTCCGTTTTGTCAATGTATCATGAAACGAAGCGACGACCCGACGCCGCGTCCGACGCCGCGTCCGACGCCGCGCCCGACGACGCTCACATATGCTTTTTATCATGTAAGAACGACAGATGGAATAACATCCCGAGCTAATAAATGTTGTGTTCATTTAAACTATTAGCACGCGGGGGGCCGGCTGATTGTTGGCTCTAAGTTTTAGAACAGAAACGATTCCTAACTACACATGCACGTCATTATGTACATATGTATATCTATTTATAGCATTAATTTGCTGAAAGTATTCACGCGGATAGAGGATGCGTCGAGGAGGAGACGGCTGCTCCTGTAGCTACACACCGAGGACGCGCGACTCGAGTCAAGGATGGCCTTTGTGTGGCACTGAGCACAGCACACGTGCAACAAACAATTCAGCACAGAAGTCGCTCGTGAAGACTGGTTGGCTCGTGATTCATTTAAATGCCCGTGCCCGTGCCCGAGCTCACTCTAGCGAGCCACCACTCGGTCGTAAGTGTGACGAAGTCACGTGACAACAGCTGACGTCGATCTAGTCGCGGTAAGTACAGTAAGTACAGAGCACACGGGCGTCACTGAGAGGCGCCCGCCCTGTCGCAACCCAATGAATGACACTTTTCTCGCAAACACAAACTTACAACAGAGCGCAATTATACAAGTTAAGAAAAGTATAATTTGGCAGGCAGCATGTGTGTGACGTAGGACTCGACCTTGAGTTGCTGGTTTGCTTCACTGAAGCGTTGGTCTGGGTACGCAGCGGCCGCGGCAACCCGACGCATTCCGTTAAAGAGCTACGGATACTGGCGGCCACACCGACTTTGATATTCAACTCATTTAGATAGTTCGATTCCAGGAGACGAGTCTAACAACACCGCTCACAGCTGCTTACGCGCGAATAATATTGGTTTAGAGTGAAGCAGCACAAACTCAGACGTGGACAGGCAGCCGACGCGGCGACGGCACCCGCGTCCGGCGCGCGGCCCCTGTGCAGGGGGCGCACAAGGAGCGAGCTAAACGCCCAATGGATGCACTGTATGATAACGTGACTATTACAAGCCGCGTCAGCTAACTCTGCGTTACCTGTGGTCCCTGGACAAATTCACATGACCAGAAACAACTTTAAAAATGTACACACTAATAATACCATTGTGCCTGAATTTCGCTTACGACATTTTCAAGACAAACTTGCAACTACAAGTTCCGAACAACAACATTCGGACCGCGCGCGCCCGGTGGAAGACCTTCCCGTTGTCGTTAAAGCTCCCAAACTACTTGCACTCAGCAGTTTCTTTACAACATTTTATTGCAGTTTCTAGTGCAGTCAGGGGCGCGCTGTTCCGACTCGGCCGGGACCACCGCGCCCCCCGCCCCGCCGCACTGCAGCCGCGGAGTGTACACAGTTCCCACACAACAGTACGAACAGATAACGTGCCAAAAATATATTATAATAAAATATAATCTTCAATTTCCTAGAGATCAAATCAGGAACGTGGAGATTCGCCGGAAAACCATGGTAACCGACATAGCTCAAAGGATCGTCTCCAAGCGAAGACTGCACGTCTGCGTGTACCTATGTATGTTAGTCAACTATTTATATTGCAATAATATACTCGTAATATATATATTATGAATAGCTTTTTTTTTTTTTGCTTAGATGTGTAGACGAGATCACAGCCCACCCGGTGTTAAGTGGTTACTGGAACCCATAGACATCTACAGCGTAAACGCGCCACACACCTTGAGATAGAAGTTCTAAGGTCTATAGTAGTATAGTTACAGCGGCTGCCCCACCCTTCAAACCGAAACGCATTACTGCTTCACGGCAGAAATAGGCAGGGCGGTGGTACCTACCCGTGCGGACTTACAAGAGTTCCTACCACCAGTAATTACGCAAATTATAATTTTGCGGGTTTAGATTTTTATTACACGATGTTATTCCTTCACCGTGGAAGTCAATCGTGAACAATTGTTAAGTAAGTATTTCATTAGAAAAATTGGTACCCGC